TTATCTCACTCAGCTATGAGCTGACCCTCTTTTATTCTTCTTCTCTGCTTATGCTATGTGTAAGCAGATCATCATCATCAGCAGTAGATAGGTGTATAGGTGGGAGCTGAGCTAGAGTTGAAGCCAGGATGAGGTATGGTCTTCAACTATTCTGTGCTTGGACTACTACTCGGGATTTTGGCCAGTGATCCACACCTTTTTGTAAAAGAATGTTTTGAGAACGTTTTTCATGTGCATACTAGCTTCTGATGTAGTGTGAGATATCCACAGGTGTGGAAAGTTGATGATATGTGTATATTTTTGTAATTGTGTAAGTTATGACGATTATGGCTTGTATTAGTACGGTATGCAGTTGTGTAGTATGAAACTGTGCCTATGGCTATGAAAGCCAATGCATATGGTTGTGAGTATATATGTTTGTGATGAATTATTTTGCAGGATAAGTTGCAAGAACTGTTAGCCCATTACGCGAGTAATTTATGTCGAAATTTTATTTAGGTAAATTTTGATAATTAATGTAACACCCGAGATTAATTCCGCTGCAATTGTATGAACAATATGATTAGGCAAAACGTATAGGGTAGGGTGTTACAGTTTGGTATCAGAGCTGGTTTGTTTTCTGCATTATGGGTCTGTTACTTTCACCCTTGAGGACTGATCACCCTCAAAAGGGCAGGAAGTACTCCATACCTGTATTTGCACTAAACTTGCCCGGATTTGCTATCAAAGGTGATGATGTGTTGCATAGTCAGTTGCATATGGTCAAACATGATTTTGAGTATTTGAAGGAATCTTGAAAATTTTATGGTTTAGGAGATTTTTTTAAAATATGTGGAGTTTTTATCTTGTTGTCTAAGTAATGATTTTGGCAGAAATTTTAATGGTGTGTGGATCAAGTTATGGCCAATATTTCCTTGTAGCTCGCACAGAAGTTGTTCTAGAAATCCTACTAAACGATCGAGAAGCATGGTGGCTAGCTATGCAATGTAGTTGATTTTAGATTATGCCAACAAGATGAGTTGTGATGGTAGATATTTGAATAGAGATGTGAATCTTGATGATTTGGTGACAACCATTTTGTAGGTTGATATAACCTTGTGTTAGTGGCAACCTACTTTGCAGGTTAACAATCTTGCTTAATAAGTTATGTTTTGAACTTGCTGATGTGCTTTTGTTGTGATAGCCCAGTATAGGTTTTTCAAACCTAAACATGGGAACTTGAGGTGTTATGTGTTACTCTCTATGTTATGAATCTCCTAACCTAAAAGTAAGGTAGTAACAAGATTTGTGATAGTGTAGGTTAGGGGGGGAACGAGCGGATATGTACTATCAACTTCAGATTAGATTTCGGGGGCGAAATCTTTTAAGGAGGGGAGAATTGTAACATCCCGTTCCGGCAAAACCCATATTTCGATCGCTAGAAAATTTCACGATTTAAAATCGAGCATTTCGACACTATTTCGGCGAAAATCGGATTATCGATCGATCGGATAAGTATACGAATTAATTATATATATAATATATATATTATATATATGATTAATTAATAAAAAGGAAAAAACAAATTGTAACAGGATAAGCAAGCCGCGGGGAGCATTTATTAACTTTCCCCTGGTCGAATTACTTCCCATCCATTTCTTCTTCTTGTTTCATTTCCGACCGAGAGTAAATCGGAGAAGCAGAGCATCACGCAGAGCTCCGGGGAAAAAGTTCGGTAGCTCGATTCTTGAGCATAAGTGATCCAAAAATCCCGTAAGTAATGCCTAATCCATCCATTCATTGTGATTTGTCGATTTAGAGCTTTAAAACGAGTTTTTGGCTCAGGAATTTCTTGAATTCCCGATCTGCCAAATTAGGGTTTCGGAGTATCCGGAAGCCGGATTGAGCCCAAATTTCATATACGAGCTTCCTGCAGCAAGGTAATCAATCCCCTAGTTCTAATCCCTGAATTTCGGCTATTAATTAGGCCGGGGGTCCAAACCGCTGAATTTAGCTCCGGCCAGGGTTTGATGTGTTTTTATCGAGAATTTGACCCGGAGCCCAGAACTAATATTGACGCGGATACTGCAGGGGATATTAGGACGGTCTCGGATTTTAATTCGGGGTTCGTTCGTGAAATTGATGTTTTAGTACCGGAGGCTAGAACCGGTGTTTGAACGACCAGAACTGGTGAGGGATTAGCACGGCATACCGGGTTTGTCGTATCACGATAATTATATTGATGCTTAGAATTGATCTAGGTGAACTAGAATGGCATGATTAGGGGTGTATGAGCTGTTGTGCTATATGTTGAATCCTGGATTGCTGTATGATATTATTGACTTGCCCTAATGGATATGAACCTTGTTTATGTGGATGATTGCATACATGTTGCCATTTGTGGGTTAACTGTTGATATGACTTCATGGTTGTTCGATAAGGGGTTTTGACATGGTGTGATATTATGGTTGTATTTGGATCCATAAGTGGGGGAATAAACTTCCCAAGGTGATATTATGATGTTTTAAGGAGGATGACTTGCACGAGGGTTTATCCCGAGGAAGTGCAATTATACGACTCCTGATTTACCTATGTTGAGCCAATTGTGGCCTGGTCAAGTACATGTGCAAGTAACGAATTATGATTAAGCAAGATGAGATATGAATCATGTATAAGGATACCAAATATGAGTGTTGTGGTCTCACGGTCAACTACATAGTAATTAGGGCTCCCTATGCTATTACTCTATTATGATATGTATGATAGTCACACCTCTCATGTGGTGGTGACTGAAGAATTCTTACGAGATATGACCACACCCAGAGTGGTGTCGGGGTATGACTACACCCATAGTGGTGTGGGGTATGTATGACCACATCCGACGGGATGTTGGGGTATGTATGACTACATCCGACGGGATGTGGGGTATGTTTCCCGGGAGAGTTATTAGCATGGGAGTAGCCAGGCGCCTATAAGTAAAACATGATAAGATGCATATGCATAAGTCAAGGTGGTTGAGTCTTTTGCCTATTGGGATGTTGGAGGGCTGAGATCTGATCCTAGTGCTTTGGCTTGTTTGCTAGATGTATGGTAGGGGTATGCTCTGTTATGAACTCACGATGCTATGATTATCTCACTCAGCTATGAGCTGACCCTCTTTTATTCTTCTTCTCTGCTTATGCTATGTGTAAGCAGATCATCATCATCAGCAGTAGATAGGTGTATAGGTGGGAGCTGAGCTAGAGTTGAAGCCAGGATGAGGTATGGTCTTCAACTATTCTGTGCTTGGACTACTACTCGGGATTTTGGCCAGTGATCCACACCTTTTTGTAAAAGAATGTTTTGAGAACGTTTTTCATGTGCATACTAGCTTCTGATGTAGTGTGAGATATCCACAGGTGTGGAAAGTTGATGATATGTGTATATTTTTGTAATTGTGTAAGTTATGACGATTATGGCTTGTATTAGTACGGTATGCAGTTGTGTAGTATGAAACTGTGCCTATGGCTATGAAAGCCAATGCATATGGTTGTGAGTATATATGTTTGTGATGAATTATTTTGCAGGATAAGTTGCAAGAACTGTTAGCCCATTACGCGAGTAATTTATGTCGAAATTTTATTTAGGTAAATTTTGATAATTAATGTAACACCCGAGATTAATTCCGCTGCAATTGTATGAACAATATGATTAGGCAAAACGTATAGGGTCCACCATCCCAGCTCCACTTTACCAGGGTGGATATCTTCCATCCTTCCCCTTCACTTCGTTACCTCTCCCAAAAAAGAAGAGGAAGATCAATTTACATTGTGATTTCACATAATAACAATAAAACTAGTAGAGAAACCATGAAACAGAATGGCCAGCATGGCTCAAATTGATAGGCCCAATGGCCAATCCAACTTGCTGGCCCAATCCCTTCCCCACCAGCGAACAATTCCATTCCTTGACGTAGAGAAGGTATGCCCATGTATTTGATTGTTGCTTCAATTGATTTTACGGAGCCGGTAATTCCCATCAGAAGCATGTCGAGTAAACCCTTAGGGAAGAGATTCGGAATTCCTGTCCGTGCAATTACTTTAATTACTTCCTTCTCCCTTCGTACTCCATCGGCTCCATGAATCTAGAACCTTAGCTAATCAACTGCAATACTGAAGCAACTGGATAAAACAACAAAAGGCACAGAGAAAGAGGAACCAAATAATTAAGAGACAGAAGTATTGGACTTCAATAATCCTTGCGCATAGCCGGTCCCATGAAATAATGCCCCGGTTCATTTAATTAATTCCCAAAAGGAATCCAACAGGTGGATGGAAATCGTGAATGGATTTCAATAAGCTTTAAGCAAAAGACGTGACACCAGATATGGCCACGACGGCGTCATCCTTGTGTTGATGTCGATCTCTAGGCTACTGGTCAGCCTCGACGCCGACGACTGCCAACAAGCGCGGTATTGGGCGATGGAAATCACTCGAGCCAGAATCGGACTCTGTTCGGTGGCTACAACAGTAACCGAACGTCTTAAAATTGTTAGAAACCGAACAGAAAAATTAGGGTTACCGATCTGGCTGAGTCGCGGACTAGGTCGCTCTCTTTAATACGTTCGCGGCACTGCCTCGTATTGCGCACAGCAGACTATCAGCCGGTCGCCTCCAGGATAAAACAGCCATTCTAGTTTTCTTGCTCATCGGTTTTGTACGAAAAACCGGAGCTCTATGAATTCACTCTCTCTCGTGTTTCTGCTCTTCTGAGGTGTGTTTAGAGGGTCTGGGGCGTCTCCTATTTATAGGAGCAGAAAACCCAGAATATTCCCTCTTTCTTTGGGAATAAGTCATATTTTAATTAGGAAGATAATTACTCCCATAATTAAAATATAATCTATTAAGATAATTATTCCTAATTATCTCCATAATATTCCTTTTATTAATTATCCATCTTATTTATGTATTATGGGAAAATACTGGATAATTAATTAGGAATTTCATTATAGATTTTCAAAGCTATTCATCCCAACACTTACTGCCACACTAAAAAAGAAGAAAGGGATCTATATATAGAGAGGAATTTGAAGAAGATGACCGTTGTAGAGGCGGTGATGTCTGTGGAGATTCATCGAGAAGAGCTTCGAGAGTTTTGCTCCACCTTCTTAGAGAGAGAGCTTAGTCTGTGAGACTCGATGATCAGTTTCTTGGTGGGTTACTTCATGATGACTTTGACGGACGATCAGTGAACGTTGTCGTTCTGACTAAAAGAGCATAAACGATGTCGTGCAGTGACAAAGGAGAGACGAGGCTGAAGCGGCATCGTTTTGTCTGAAAGTCTTTATACTTCAATCGTCCAACAATTTCACCCTTCGTCCGAGAAGTCTGAATGAACCTGAAATAAGAAACACACAGCAGTACTCGAGGGAAAATGGTAGCTTTCATTAGTCAAGAATGGAGAGAATACATCTGTTGAAACCAGGGATACTGAAAGCTACAGCTAGAAGAAGGTTTAAGACCATTCATTCATACAAAATGTTCCCCCTGAACACATGCATAACTATTAAGAGAAAAACACAATCAAAGATCACCTACTAAGATCACTAGCTAAGCAAACTACTGACTACTACACTAAAAGACGGAGACACCTAAACTAAGGAAGGTTCCCCCCTGAGAATAGACAGGGGCTTAGGGGATTAGCCTTCTACAGTTCTAGATCGTCTCCTGCTGTTGTCACTCGAACTAAATTCCTATGCTAATTAACTATGGAGCTCCAAATACAAATCTCTTGCACGCTATCAATACTTCCAAATCACATCTTTGGGAGTGATACAATGATCTCATTTTGCTATCATCTAAACTTGCCATCATATGATCAATGTTGTTGCAACTTTAGTTTCTATGGCGTAGCCACGGGTATTGATTCTAGTTTCACATTAAGTTGAATTCTTTGTCTCATTCCACGTGGCCTCACCACAACTTTTCCTCCCAACTATGCGTAACAGTCATTAGCACTAACTGAACTTACACTAATAAACAATTCAAACCATAATTACTTCTTTCCTAGGCTAGTTATTGAAAGCAAAAACCATCCATATGGAGAACGTAGGAACATAAGTGGCAGACCATGGCAAAAACAAATTGACAACTTCAACTTTATTTGTTCATCAAGCCACATTAGATCAGCCAATAGAAGCAATTGCCATGGATAGAACTTTACTGCATCAATCACATTCCCACTTATTCTATCAACTTTGACGCTTAAACCACCTTATGAATGCAACGAACTAGCAGACTGCCAAACCGCACTCCATTTCTACATACTACACTAAAGTTACTAAAAACAGAAGGAAATTCGCAACTGACTACTCAAACAGCAGCCAGTGCCACAAATCCGCACCACTGCAAAGTTCCCAAAAAGGAATGGCATGTACGACACTGATTCGCAATTCCTATAAGAACTTCCAAGCAGTGACCAACTTAGCTCTACTTACTTCCCTCCATTTCCAATCTGAAGAAGGGAAGTTGCAAATTACCTTTCTGGATCCGCCCAAAGAAACACCATGTTCAGTATCTTTCCGGTCGATTCCTCTCTATGTATCTACACAGCACCATTCCCAATCAAACCCGAAATCATATTTCCACATGTCTCTAGCCTGTCATTCCGCTCCTGCGATTTTAGGTGCACCAGAGAGTTTGATCACAGAGGTCGGCAAATATGTTCATTTGGCCGGCCGTTGGGCTGCTTCCCAATTGTTGAGCGCTTTGAGGCCTATCATTGTTTTTGGAACGAGGCATATCGTGGGGTGGTCATTGAAGGACCAAAGCTTGTTGTTTTGCACATAACAGAAGCAGATGACAGCAGATGGCGTAGTGAGCTGATTGAAGTATCTGCTCCAAAGCTCAAAACATTCACCTGGCAAGTCGACCATCTGAGAAAGAGGTTAAGAAGTATATACATACCTTCGATTGAGCAAGCATCAGTTGTCTTTCTCTTCAGAAGTAGCCAAAACAAGCTATTGGAGCATCTAGTCCCTGCGTTTCAAAACGCAAAATGGATTACACTTGGTCTGGAGTTTATCCTGGACGATGAAGACTATATTGGGTTTGGAGCAGATATAACGAGGATGATATCAAACCCGCCATTTGGAAATTTGGAGAGGCTGAGAATTGTGAGGCGACAACAAGAGGAGGACATTGTTGCCAATTTCGGATTCCATGGGCCTACTCTCGGTATAATTGAAGACTCTCTACTGCCCACTTCAGGAACTGTACCGCCGTCGTCCTACTCCTTTACCGGCGAAAGCAGTGCCGCCGGGAGCGGAAGACAAGCAAAGGAAACGGACGAGGAGGGCGCTGGGAAGAGCAGGGAAGCTTAAAGCCAACGGAGACGCAGAATTGAATACAGACAGACAGAAAGATCATAACCATCAGTCCACTGGATCGATCTACTACTTGAAGAACAGAAAGTTTGCTCCTTTTTTTTCACTTCGATTTTTAGTTGTGCAGTTTGACGGTTTACTTTCAGCTTTAGTTCATTGATCACATCACTTCCATTCATTTTTTGAGCAGAGAGGATCATATTTCCACATGTCTCTAGCCTGTCATTCCGCTCCTGCGATTTTAGGTGCACCAGAGAGTTTGATCACAGAGGTCGGCAAATATATTCATTTGGCCGGCCGTTGGGCTGCTTCCCAATTGTTGAGCGCTTTGAGGCCTATCATTGTTTTTGGAACGAGGCATATCGTGGGGTGGTCATTGAAGGACCAGAGCTTGTTGTTTTGCACATAACAGAAGCAGATGACAGCAGATGGCGTAGTGAGCTGATTGAAGTATCTGCTCCAAAGCTCAAAACATTCACCTGGCAAGTCGACCATCTGAGAAAGAGGTTAAGAAGTATATACATACCTTCGATTGAGCAAGCATCAGTTGTCTTTCTCTTCTGAAGTAGCCAAAACAAGCTATTGGAGCATCTAGTCCTTGTGTTTCAAAACGCAAAATGGATTACACTTGGTCTGGAGTTTATCCTGGACGATGAAGACTATATTGGGTTTGGAGCAGATATAACGAGGATGATATCAAACCCGCCATTCGGAAATTTAGAGAGGCTGAGAATTGTGAGGCGACAACAAGAGGAGGACACTGTTGCCAATTTCGGATTCCATAGGCCCACTCTCGGTATAATTGAAGACTCTCTACTGCCCAGTTCAGGAACTGTACCGCCGTCGTCCTACTCCTTTACCGGCGAAAACAGTGCCGCCAGGAGCGGAAGTCAAGCAAAGGAAACGGACGAGGAGGGCGCTGGGAAGAGCAGGGAAGCTTAAAGCCAACGGAGACGCAGAATTGAATGCAGACAGACAGAAAGATCATAACCATCAGTCCACTGGATCGATCTACTACTTGAAGAACAGAAAGTTTGCTCCTTTTTTTTCACTTCGATTTTTAGTTGTGCAGTTTGACGGTTTACTTTCAGCTTTAGTTCATTGATCACATCACTTCCATTCATCTTTTGAGCAGAGAGGATCATATTTCCACATGTCTCTAGCCTGTCATTCCACTCCTGCGATTTTAGGTGCACCAGAGAGTTTGATCACAGAGGTCGGCAAATATATTCATTTGGCTGGCCGTTGGGCTGCTTCCCAATTGTTGAGCGCTTTGAGGCCTATCATTGTTTTTGGAACGAGGCATATCGTGGGGTGGTCATTGAAGGACCAGAGCTTGTTGTTTTGCACATAACAGAAGCAGATGACAGCAGATGGCGTAGTGAGCTGATTAAAGTATCTGCTCCAAAGCTCAAAACATTCACCTGGCAAGTCGACCATCTGAGAAAGAGGTTAAGAAGTATATACATACCTTCGATTGAGCAAGCATCAGTTGTCTTTCTCTTCAGAAGTAGCCAAAACAAGCTATTGGAGCATCTAGTCCCTGCGTTTCAAAACGCAAAATGGATTACACTTGGTCTGGAGTTTATCTTGGACGATGAAGACTATATTGGGTTTGGAGCAGATATAACGAGGATGATATCAAACCCGCCATTTGGAAATTTGGAGAGGCTGAGAATTGTGAGGCGACAACAAGAGGAGGACATTGTTGCCAATTTCGGATTCCATGGGCCCACTCTCGGTATAATTGAAGACTCTCTACTGCCCACTTCAGGAACTGTACCGCCGTCGTCCTACTCCTTTACCGGCGAAAGCAGTGCCGCCGGGAGCGGAAGACAAGCAAAGGAAACGGACGAGGAGGGCGCTGGGAAGAGCAGGGAAGCTTAAAGCCAACGGAGACGCAGAATTGAATACAGACAGACAGAAAGATCATAACCATCAGTCCACTGGATCGATCTACTACTTGAAGAACAGAAAGTTTGCTCCTTTTTTTTCACTTCGATTTTTAGTTGTGCAGTTTGACGGTTTACTTTCAGCTTTAGTTCATTGATCACATCACTTCCATTCATTTTTTGAGCAGAGAGGATCATATTTCCACATGTCTCTAGCCTGTCATTCCGCTCCTGCGATTTTAGGTGCACCAGAGAGTTTGATCACAGAGGTCGGCAAATATATTCATTTGGCCGGCCGTTGGGCTGCTTCCCAATTGTTGAGCGCTTTGAGGCCTATCATTGTTTTTGGAACGAGGCATATCGTGGGGTGGTCATTGAAGGACCAGAGCTTGTTGTTTTGCACATAACAGAAGCAGATGACAGCAGATGGCGTAGTGAGCTGATTGAAGTATCTGCTCCAAAGCTCAAAACATTCACCTGGCAAGTCGACCATCTGAGAAAGAGGTTAAGAAGTATATACATACCTTCGATTGAGCAAGCATCAGTTGTCTTTCTCTTCTGAAGTAGCCAAAACAAGCTATTGGAGCATCTAGTCCTTGTGTTTCAAAACGCAAAATGGATTACACTTGGTCTGGAGTTTATCCTGGACGATGAAGACTATATTGGGTTTGGAGCAGATATAACGAGGATGATATCAAACCCGCCATTCGGAAATTTAGAGAGGCTGAGAATTGTGAGGCGACAACAAGAGGAGGACACTGTTGCCAATTTCGGATTCCATAGGCCCACTCTCGGTATAATTGAAGACTCTCTACTGCCCAGTTCAGGAACTGTACCGCCGTCGTCCTACTCCTTTACCGGCGAAAGCAGTGCCGCCAGGAGCGGAAGTCAAGCAAAGGAAACGGACGAGGAGGGCGCTGGGAAGAGCAGGGAAGCTTAAAGCCAACGGAGACGCAGAATTGAATGCAGACAGACAGAAAGATCATAACCATCAGTCCACTGGATCGATCTACTACTTGAAGAACAGAAAGTTTGCTCCTTTTTTTTCACTTCGATTTTTAGTTGTGCAGTTTGACGGTTTACTTTCAGCTTTAGTTCATTGATCACATCACTTCCATTCATCTTTTGAGCAGAGAGGATCATATTTCCACATGTCTCTAGCCTGTCATTCCACTCCTGCGATTTTAGGTGCACCAGAGAGTTTGATCACAGAGGTCGGCAAATATATTCATTTGGCCGGCCGTTGGGCTGCTTCCCAATTGTTGAGCGCTTTGAGGCCTATCATTGTTTTTGGAACGAGGCATATCGTGGGGTGGTCATTGAAGGACCAGAGCTTGTTGTTTTGCACATAACAGAAGCAGATGACAGCAGATGGCGTAGTGAGCTGATTAAAGTATCTGCTCCAAAGCTCAAAACATTCACCTGGCAAGTCGACCATCTGAGAAAGAGGCTAAGAAGTATATACATACCTTCGATTGAGCAAGCATCAGTTGTCTTTCTCTTCAGAAGTAGCCAAAACAAGCTATTGGAGCATCTAGTCCTTGCGTTTCAAAACGCAAAATGGATTACACTTGGTCTGGAGTTTATCCTGGACGATGAAGACTATATTGGGTTTGGAGCAGATATAACGAGGATGATATCAAACCCGCCATTCGGAAATTTGGAGAGGCTGAGAATTGTGAGGCGACAATAAGAGGAGGACACTGTTGCCAATTTCGGATTCCATGGGCCCACTCTCGGTATAATTGAAGACTCTCTACTGCCCACTTCAGGAACTGTACCGCCGTCGTCCTACTCCTTTACCGGCGAAAGCAGTGCCGCCGGGAGCGGAAGACAAGCAAAGGAAACGGACGAGGAGGGCGCTGGGAAGAGCAGGGAAGCTTAAAGCCAACGGAGACGCAGAATTGAATGCAGACAGACAGAAAGATCATAACCATCAGTCCACTGGATCGATCTACTACTTGAAGAACAGAAAGTTTGCTCCTTTTTTTTCACTTCGATTTTTAGTTGTGCAGTTTGACGGTTTACTTTCAGCTTTAGTTCATTGATCACATCACTTCCATTCATTTTTTGAGCAGAGAGGATCATATTTCCACATATCTCTAGCCTGTCATTCCGCTCCTGCGATTTTAGGTGCACCAGAGAGTTTGATCACAGAGGTCGGTAAATATATTCATTTGGCCGGCCGTTGGGCTGCTTCCCAATTGTTGAGCGCTTTGTGGCCTATCATTGTTTTTGGAACGAGGCATATCGTGGGGTGGTCATTGAAGGACCAGAGCTTGTTGTTTGGCACATAACAGAAGCAGATGACAGCAGATGGCGTAGTGAGCTGATTGAAGTATCTGCTCCAAAGCTCAAAACATTCACCTGGAAAGTCGACCATCTGAGAAAGAGGTTAAGAAGTATATACATACCTTCGATTGAGCAAGCATCAGTTGTCTTTCTCTTCAGAAGTAGCCAAAACAAGCTATTGGAGCATCTAGTCCCTGCGTTTCAAAACGCAAAATGGATTACACTTGGTCTGGAGTTTATCCTGGACGATGAAGACTATATTGGGTTTGGAGCAAATATTACGAGGATGATGTCAAACCCGCCATTCGAAAATTTGGGGAGGCTGAGAATTGTGAGGCGACAACAAGAGGAGGACACTGTTGCCAATTTCGGATTCCATGGGCCCACTCTCGGTATAATTGAAGACTCTCTACTGCCCACTTCAGGAACTGTACCGCCGTCGTCCTACTCCTTTACCGGCGAAAGCAGTGTCGTCGAGAGCGGAAGACAAGCAAAGGAAACGGACGAGGAGGGCGCTGGGAAGAGCAGGGAGCTTAAAGCCAACGGAGACGCAGAATTGAATGCAGACAGACAGAAAGATCATAACCATCAATCCACTGGATCGATCTACTACTTGAAGAACAGAATGTTTGCTCCTTTTTTCTCACGTCGATTTTTAGTTGTGCAGTTTGACGGTTTACTTTCAGCTTTAGTTCATTGATCACATCACTTCCATTCATTTTTTGAGCAGAGAGGATCATATTTCCACATGTCTCTAGCTTGTCATTCCGCTTCTGCGATTTTAGGTGCACCAGAGAGTTTGATCACAGAGGTCGGCAAATATATTCATTTGGCCGGTCGTTGGGCTGCTTCCCAATTGTTGAGCGCTTTGTGGCCTATCATTGTTTTTGGAACGAGGCATATCGTGGGGTGGTCATTGAAGGACCAGAGCTTGTTGTTTTGCACATAACAGAAGCAGATGACAGCAGATGGCGTAGTGAGCTGATTGAAGTATCTGCTCCAAAGCTCAAAACATTCACCTGGCAAGTCGACCATCTGAGAAAGAGGTTAAGAAGTATATACATACCTTCGATTGAGCAAGCATCAGTTGTCTTTCTCTTCAGAAGTAGCCAAAACAAGCTATTGGAGCATCTAGTCCCTGCGTTTCAAAACGCAAAATGGATTACACTTGGTCTGGAGTTTATCCTGGACGATGAAGACTATATTGGGTTTGGAGCAGATATTACGAGGATGATATCAAACCCGCTATTCAGAAATTTGGAGAGGCTGAGAATTGTGAGGCGACAACAAGAGGAGGACACTGTTGCCAATCTCGGATTCCATGGGCCCACTCTCGGTATAATTGAAGACTCTCTACTGCCCACTTCAGGAACTGTACCGCCGTCGTCCTACTCCTTTACCGGCGAAAGCAGTGCCGCCGGGAGCGGAAGACAAGCAAAGGAAACGGACGAGGAGGGTGCTGGGAAGAGCAGGGAAGCTTAAAGCCAACGGAGACGCAGAATTGAATGCAGACAGACAGAAAGATCATAACCATCAGTCCACTGGATCGATCTACTAATTGAAGAACAGAAAGTTTGCTCCTTTTTTTCACTTCGATTTTTAGTTGTGCAGTTTGACGGTTTACTTTCAGCTTTAGTTCATTGATCACATCACTTCCATTCATTTTTTGAGCAGAGAGGATCATATTTCCACATGTCTCTAGCCTGTCATTCCGCTCCTGTGATTTTAGGTGCACTAGAGAGTTTGATCACAGAGGTCGGCAAATATATTCATTTGGCCGGCCGTTGGGCTGCTTCCCAATTGTTGAGCACTTTGTGGCCTATCATTGATTTTGGAACGAGGCATATCGTGGGGTGGTCATTGAAGGACCAGAGCTTGTTGTTTTGCACATAACAGAAGCATATGATAGCAGATGGCGTAGTGAGCTGATTTTAGTATCTGCTCCAAAGCTCAAAACATTCACCTGGCAAGTCGACCATCTGAGAAAGAGGTTAAGAAGTATATACATACCTTCGATTGAGCAAGCATCAGTTGTCTTTCTCTTCAGAAGTAGCCAAAACAAGCTATTGGAGCATCTAGTCCCTGCGTTTCAAAACGCAAAATGGATTACACTTGGTCTGGAGTTTATCCTGGACGATGAAGACTATATTGGGTTTGGAGCAGATATAACGAGGATGATATCAAACCCGCCATTCGAAAATTTGGAGAGGCTGAGAATTGTGAGGCGACAACAAGAGGAGGACACTGTTGCCAATTTCGGATTCCATGGGCCCACTCTCGGTATAATTGAAGACTCTCTACTGCCCACTTCAGGAACTGTACCGCCGTCGTCCTACTCCTTTACCGGCGAAAGCAGTGCCGCCGGGATCGGAAGACAAGCAAAGGAAACTGACGAGGAGGGCGCTGGGAAGAGCAGGGAAGCTTAAAGCCAACGGAGACGCAGAATTGATTGCAGACAGACAGAAAGATCATAACCATCAGTCCACTGGATCGATCTACTACTTGAAGAACATAAAGTTTGCTCCTTTTTTTTCACTTCGATTTTTAGTTGTGCAGTTTGACGGTTTACTTTCAGCTTAGTTCATTGATCACATCACTTCCATTCATTTTTTGAGCATCATGATTTGATCTCGATCTCCATCTCCATATGTCTGGGAGGTTGAATTCGAATGAATGCTTACTACTCTGTCCATATCCTGATCCCATTCGGATTACATTACCCTTGTATCAAACTAATCTTCAATACAGATCTCTAGTATTCCTACATCTTGATTAGTACAGGGGATCTTCTGTTTCAACTCAACTCCATTGTGAACTGTTTTCAAGGAGATATTATGCTGGCATTGTTCATCAAACTAAGAAGCAAATTTAATATTTTGGAAGTTCAAATTTGGGGCTGGTAGAGGTAGAGCTGTCACCATTGCCGCCAAGAACCATGTCTAAGGCTGCGGCGGTGGTCTGGTGGAGCTGTGGACGTTGGCGGAGAAGAACCTATCATCAGAGGATAAAGACGATCCCGTCATCAAGCTAGATTATCTCGTCTTCAAGAATTGGGAACATCCTCTACGGACGCCGGAGTTTATCTTCCTGGATGAATCTATAACGACGGCGCAGTCGTTGACGGAGACGTCGGGAGGAGAAGTAGAGCAGCCAACTGTGAATCAAGGAAATCTGCCACTGAACTTGAATTTACCTGAGAACGGGATGCAGGACATATCAGAGCAATGGACCGCCGAGCCGTTCATCCTCCGCTGAATTTGAAATTATCGGAGTCGGCGATGCAGGACATAGCAGAGCGATGGAGCAGCCGGAATTCGGATTTTCTGCAGCCGCGATGGCTGTCCCACTGCCTCACCTACCTGCACATTTTGGGCATGCGGCGACTAATGTGCCTGGGCTTTTTTCTCCACCGCCGATGAACGTCGGAGTACAAATCCGCGATCCCGCCATCGACGACGACAGCAATCTTCAGGATGTCGAAATGATTCCCGTTTCTGATTCGCCGCCGCCTTCCACCGATTTGCGCCTCCGATCCCCTTCCCCCCGCCCACGTCCTCCTTCCACCGGTTTACGCCTAGGTCCGCCTTCCCCGCCGTCTGATTTTACCGGCGGCGAAGACTCGTCCGGAGAAGAGATGAGTGAATGAGCTTTTTTTTTGTGTGTGAATAAAGTGGGCTTTTTCAGGTAAACAGTATTTGGGCTTTTCTGCTGAATTGAATCGGAAGATCCAACTCGAGTCCATACAGTAACAGAGACGTTTTGCAGGTTTTAGATTACTGAGTTTGTGTAGTAGTTTTGCGTTTAAAGTGTTTTAGATTAATTCTTTGGAACTTTGATTTGCGAATGATTATGTAAATGAAACTGTGAATTCAGTTTCGAAGAATCATTAAGTTTGGATTTCATGGGAAGTTTGTGAAGTTTTACTTTATTAGTAGGGGTTTCACGCTGAATCGAGCACAAACAATATGGGTTAGTATAAAAATTTAATAACTATCTCGAGTATGGAAATGAATTGAAAATGTAACGAATGGGGACTGGATAGCGTGACTACCCCTAAGGGGTTGTCAATCTCGCTTACCCCCTCGTTGCTGTCCGTTCCCCTTTTTCATCTAGCGGCCAGGATTATAAGAAGGGCTTTTCAGTGTACAAAATAGTGATACCCTACGACTAATTTTTTCGATATAACTTCTAGTATGATTTCACAAACATGGTTAAACTTTCCGAACCATGACTAATCGGCATGGACAGAAAGAACTTTCCCAAAAACAAATGAAAAAGAAAACATTGACCGTATCATTAATCAATCAGAAAGTATGATAAAGACACTAATAATACCCACAAAAACAGGAAGAATCTTTGGACCAAAACCAACCAAACCACTAACCATTAGGGATGGAGGGGAAGAAGAAAGACATCTATTCAAGCGGGTTAATGACAGAAATATTGTTTTTTTTTAATTTACCACGAATAAGGCCAGTTAAAAACTATTGACAAAGATATTGTGTTTTAGAGATAAGAATGGGCGGGGACACCTGAGACTCAGGCGCTGCCGCTTAAGCTTGGTTTTGGGACCGTTTTATTTAGTTGGCAGCGGCGGCGCTCAAGACTCAGGCGGTGGCGCCCGAGACTCAGGCGGCGGCGCCCGAGACTGAAGCGAGTAGGTGGGAAATCAAGACTCCGGCGGTGGCGCCCGAGACTGAGGCGAGTAGGTGGATTGGCCACCCACCCTATAAAACCCAGACTATTTCGTTTCAGATTCACACCACAAAAAAAATCGTCCAAAATAGAGGAGAGAGCTCTGGTTGCTGCTGCAAAAATGGCTAATAGGTAAGAGACACATTTATTTTTGTAATTATATTATTCAAATGCTATTATGATTGTGTTTAGTTTTTAATTAGTGAGTTTGTTTTTTTGTAGTGATTTTAGAAGATTTGAACTAGTTGTTCGGTGGAAATCGGAGAAAGTAGAGGATAATTTGGGCGTCAAATTCGTTGGTGGTAGTAGTTTTCAGTTGACGGTTCCATCCAGAGTCACATATCACAAACTTTGTGAGACTCTAATTCCGAGAATACGGCGCAGAGACGAAGCAGTAAAAGATAGTGATGTGATCACAGGTTTCACTTACCGTCTTCCAGAATGGCAGAATGATGTTTTATTTCATTATGCGTTACCTATTGTGGATGATGATAGCTTGGATGTGCTTTGGAATTTTATGGCACAAAATTCTTATTGTTTGGGTGCTGAGATACATGTTGAGCTCAGTGATGATCAGGGTGGAGAGGAAGAAGATGATACATGGAGCGTGCCATCCGATCATGACTATGATCACGGTGATGACGGAGAGGAGGAAGATGAGGAGGAGGAGGAGGAGGAGGAGGAGGAGGAGGAAGGAGAGCAGCTTAATTATCCTCCATATTTTTACTTGCAGGGCAATGAAGAGGACGAAGAATTTGCACTTGTTGATTCATATGGCGTAATTCCAATGCCTATTGTTGATAGTTTTGAAGGAGAATTCTACAAGGGGCAGATATTTCACTCGAAACAAGCTGCACAGATGGCGATTAAACACCACGCACTACAACGCAACTTTCAATATGGCGTGGTGGAGTCGTCACCTTCAATATGGAAGGTCAGATGCTTGAGGCACAAGGATGACAATTGTCCTTGGATGGTGCGGTTTGGATGTCGAGATGTTGGGGGCGAATGGACTGTGAGAAAAGCTGAGTTGGTGCATTCTTGTAGCAGTACGACTCAACCGACGGATCATCGCCATCTTGATGTCGACATGATACCTGAGGCCGTCAAACATTTGGTACGTGCCCAACCAAATCTGAGTGTTCTAACTGTTCAAGCCGAGTTGAAAGATAAGTTTAATATGCAAGTTACTTACAAGAAGGCTTGGTATGGGAAACAAAGAGCATTGGAGAAGTTGCATGGAAATTGGGAAGAATCCTACGATTTTTTGCAAACATTCTTGCGGGTGGTCAAGAGAAAAATGCCAACATCGGTGATTGATTGGGTAACAGTTCCTTCGACTCAACCCGGTCATTCAATATTTCAGCGAGTATTCTGGGCTTATGGACCTTGTATAGATGGATTCAAGAATTGTCCAGGCGTCATGGTTGTGGATGGAACATTTCTTACTGGGAAGTATAAAGGAGTGCTACTCATGGCGAGCTCATTTGATGGCCGGAGGAAGATTTTTCCAATTGCATTTGCCATAGTGGAGAGCGAGAATACTGAGAGTTGGCCATGGTTCATGAGGAAGGTTCAGGGTTTGACTGATCGAAATGATGTATGCATCATCTCAGATAGACATGCAGGACACTATGAAGCCATGAATAACATTGGAAGAGGTTGGGAGTGGAGGTGGTGCATGCGACACTATGCAAGCAATTTGCAAAGGAAGACTCGAAGCAAAATTATGTATAATCAACTATTTCGAGTCGGTAAGCTTTCTTCATTTAATTTTGTTATTTGTTTTCATGTAATTTTGTCATTAATTTATCTAACACGTGTTGTGGTTTATTTTGTTAGCCGGAGAAAAACGGTTGGAGAAGTTTGATCGTCAAGTTGAGCAATTTAAGAAGGTGGCCGCTGATAGAAATATTTCATGTGATAACTGGGTGGATCAACATCAGATTCGTTGGAGTTTAGCACATGATAACTACAATGGTGGGGGTCGTTGGTCTATCTTGACATCCAACATGGCAGAAAGCGTCAATGGTATTTTCAAAGGTATTCGTGCACTTCCGATAGCTTCTCTTGTGCAGCATACCTATTGGCGATTGGTGGAGAAATTCGATAAGTATAGGTTGGAGACAGGAGCAGAAATTAGAAGTGGCGGTTCACAGTACTCCACCAAGTGCGAAGAGCTGATGAAGTACAGGTCACAAAAGGCAATTGGACATTCTGTGACAGCTCTTGATCGAGGTCAAAGCATCTATGTAGTTCAGACTCCTCCCAACAATTTCAACATGACAGGGTCAAACACACTCACAGTTCTCATGTTAAAGGTGATACTTCAACATTGAGATGAGTCCTCTTGCTTGGGAGAGGTGCCATAATTTGGGCCTCTAGAAAGCAAACTTGCATCACTAAGTTTCACTATGGAATCAAAGTGTGTGTGGCCTTGATTTCTCTTAGAGAAGAGACATAATTGTTGAGAGGTTTGGTTTATGATATATATTTATGGCCTAAACCAATCTCACCTATTACTATCTTTTGTGATAGTAAAGCTAATTTGGCTAAGGCATATAGTAAAGTGAAAATGATAAGTACGGTCATGTGGGAGTATGGCACGATAAAAGCTGTGAACTGATCATTCATAGTGTTGTGTCTAGACAGTATGACCAAACTCGAATTAATTTGGTTGATCATTTGACGAAGTGGTTAACTAGTGACTTGGTGATTAAGTCTGTGAAAGGGATGGATTAAAGTCCATATAATTTCTGGTAATGGGACACCCAATTCCCCTCTAATACAACGTTAGAGGCTGAATTCAATGTGGAAAGCTTATTATCAGAAATTGAAGCACAAAATTTGTCATCCCGAGGTATGTGCTTGTTACCTGCATGAGAGAAGAGGATGAAGTTCAAAACTTCTTAATTGAATCTTTGAAAAAGTGTATTATGCGGGTACACGAATAAGAGATTCAACCTACGTAAGCATGAAGTGTAGCCGCTTCAAGAAACCCGGACTTTGGTTTCGTGTGCGCTTATGAGAAGGATTGGACACATGGCGGATAATAGTGTCAAGGCACTTAGAAGTTTTGAAAACTGAAGTGTATATTATCTTCGAATATTCATATGAGTCAATGGGTTCAATCGTTACCGACACCCTTTGTATTCGAGTATTCGTCAAGTGTAATATACTAAGGTGAAAATTCAATCGTCACGACATTTTCATTTATGCTTAAGTTTTGTTGGAAGAATGTTGTGATTTTAGTGAATTACAAGAATACACTAAAATGGGGGAGGACTGTTAGAAATTTGGTTGAACCGGACTAACCAAGTCAAACCGGTTTTGGGTTGGACCGACCAACCGGTTTGGGATTAGACCGACCGAACCGATATTCTAATTCCGTGAAGGGACACATCCCTTTGGCCTAGTGGCGGTTGCATTATTTTATGGATAAGGATAACCTTATGGATAAAGGCAACCCTTCATATGGATAAAGATAACCTTTCATATGGATAGAGGCAACCTTTCATATGGGAAAAGACAACCTTTCGTATGGATAAAGGCAACCTTTCATGAAACAATGCATGGATTCGGCCCCTATAAATATATGGGTGGGGTGGATGGTGCCACATACCATCAAGCATATTCTTCTTCTTTCTTCCAAAAATTTCTAGGTATGCTTTAGTGTTCTTGAGCCTGGAACCTAAAGTGGTGATAGTTTTATCCTCGGGAGAAATTTCCTGTAACCCTAGGCTTGTTGAGGGTGGAAATATTCTTTTCGGAAAGTGAACGTTGTTCACGACTCTATCATAATCCTAGTCACCCGGTCTCGGGCTATCGTACGTATACCCTCGTCCCTAAAAGTCCCAACAATCGAAAAGAATAGTTTTCCTGTATGATGGCTCGAACTGCTCTTTACAAGAAACCGATTTCGGTCTATGGAATCATGAGAATTTTCGATGA